TCCGCGATCGCGTTCGCGGCGCGCGGTCCGCGAAACGAGGCGGCCGACGACGAGGCCGTGGTGGCCGCGAGGAGGAGGTGGAGTAGGGACGCGGGAAGGGATCGACGGGAAGGGACATCCAACGGAGCGAAGTGTACCGAATGAATGAGCGAGGCTGTGGGGGACGAGGGACCTCCGTGTCGCCTTGTCCTCCGTCGTTCTCGGTTTACCCATACACGCGCGTCGCGACGCGATGCGGCGCGCGCGAGGGGTTTGCCGCGCCAGCGGCGGCGCAAAAGCCAGCCACTCTCGTCTGCGGATGCACCAGACGCTGGCGGATGCGCTGCTCGCTGCAACGTGGCACCCACGCGTCCCCCGTCGCAACGAAATCCCGCGATTTTCCCCGTTACTGCTTTTTCGCGGGACGTTTCGCGGACTGTCGGGATTTTCAGGCGGAACTATGCGAGAAGCTGAACGAAAAAGGAGCCGATCGCGGCGAGGGGATCCGTCGACCGGGCTATGGGACTATAGACGCGCTCGCGTGCTCTGGGGGAGGTCGGAAAAGGAGGCGGGGTTCTCGATTATGCCGAGAGAGAGGGAGGAAGGCGCACGGGGAGACGTCGGCTCTCACTGCGGTGATTCTGAAAGCTGCCACGGGGGGCGCCGTGCTACGGTACTACAGCGACGTGGAGCCACTCCTAGGAGTTTCTCGTGATTTTCCTCAGGAAAGCGGTCTGGGGCTATTGCTGGTCGATGTGAGTGCTTTATCAGTATTGTTTGTTGGCAAGTTAAGTATGTAATTCACGAGTAGTCTGAGAAGTGGCTGCACTGAGCGCATTTCCGAGTACTTTTAAACCTAACCTCAAAAACGTATGGTCAGCTGTAGCAGTTGTATTATGTTGATAATGTTGCTAAACAGTCAGTTTTTAACAAACTATGATTGTGTAGATCTCGTTTGCTGTGTTTGTTGAATCATTCTCTGCCAGCTGACAATGAGCATGAAGAGTCTCGCTCACAGCCAAGACACTACTTTACATTTTGTATGGTAGAGGTCCTTTTTTAGAGTCCTTTATTGATTTTTCTTTCTCTTAGAGATACATCCCCATATGTATATGTGTATACCTATTGTATGACTAGACTTTACTTTTCATATTTTTATTTAAGACTAAATTGAGAGAGAGGGAGAGAGAGAGAGAATATTTAAAAATGACGCGATAGAGCGTCCACAGCCGAGAGTAATAATATCCCCACTTTGATGCG